GTAGGATAATGAGCTGAAGCCCGTGGAGGTTTGTTAAAGAGTTTTGTCAGTAAAGAGTTCCAAACAAAAGGGACCGGAGAACAGAACTGTTCATCAATACACTCTGTCTAGAAGGATCCCTGCACAGGCACCTGTCCAACAGTACCAGATACACTCTGGTACTGTTCCCTGGGGAACAAGTTCTACTTTAAAGAAAACTGATGATTGTATGGTATAATACACACACACACACACACACACATTGTTGCTCCTGTGTTTTTTTCCTTCTTGTAAATACAAAGCACTTAACAGATATGATGATGTCATCAACATGCTGCAGGATAAGTGATGTGGAGACTGGAGCAGATGATGGATGATGATGGACCACAGGTACATTTGGACCAAAGGGGGAGAAGGGGGAGGAATGGCAAGAAAATAAAGACAGGGAGAAAGAGAAAGAAAGAGTGGAAGAAAGCAGAGAAGAAAGGATACGTAAGAAGAGGAGAAGAAAATAGGTTAGGAGGAGAGGGAAAAAAGTCAAAGGAGAACAAAGGAGGAGGTGAAAGCAGGAGGAAGATGTAAGAAAATCCACCGGTGAACCAGACTTTTTACAACACCAAAAAGGACAGACCAAAACCCATCCCCTTGTCAGAGAGGAGGAGGTGCAGGAGGAGGTGCAGGAGGAGGTGATGGAGGTAACGGTTTGAGACAGACACGGAGACGGGAACAGAAAGAAGAGGCGTGAGCAGAGTCTTTACCTTGTCGGGAGATGAACGAGCTAGCTAGAGAGCCACGCAGCTTATATCCAGCTTTCCAACGCAAGACGGAGGAACGAGAGGAAGAAGAGAAATGAGGAAGAAGAGGAAAAAAGAAAAGAACAGCAGCATGAATAATCTGATGACAGGAGGAGAGGGTAACAAAGGAGGAGAGGTGGAGGTAGAACCTCAGTCATGGAGCTTCCCTGTCAGGGATCAGAGAGAGAACTGATCCAGGACCTGATCTGGTCCCACCCACAGACACCTGGTTAGCTTTGAGCTAACTGAGACTTTTATAGCGTTGTGTTTTTTTCACTCTCAGTTCACCACAGGCTAACATTTAGCTCTGTTAGCACTGTAGCATGATGTTAATGATTTATGCACTCTGTGCTGATAATTAATTTAGGTTTTTTTTTTCTGGCAGGACTTCCATTATTGAAGAAGAGAAAAGTTCTGGAACCCACAGTGGGTTCCTGCACTTTAACTAACAATGAAGTGCAGCACAGCAGCTGTCAATCAAAGCCTCTAATGGAAAACCTCCAGCTAATCAAAGAGAGTAAGGCACACACGCACACACACGTGCGCGCGCGCACGCACACATACACACACACAGCCTCACTACACCCTGTAGCACACACACGTGCGCGCGCACACGCACACACACACACACACAGCCTCACTACACCCTGTTACATGATTGCATTTCCAAAGCTGTTGAGGTTAGGCAGGTTAGAGGGAAAAGTGTGTTTGTGTGTATGGTGGTGGAGAGGGAGGGGGAGGAGGAGGAGGAGGGGAGGGGCTTATCAGCTGGGGTGATGGAGGTCAGGAGGGTGGTGTTGGTCAGAGGGTGGAGGAGGTTCAGTACCTGGCTCCACGTCGTGCCAGCTGCTGGCCTGGCTGCCGCTGCCCGGGGAGCGACCCTGACTGGGGTAGTAGGACTCCTCTCCTGGACTGTCCACGTCCTCGTCCATACACTTTATCCTCTTGGCAGAGCTGGACCGAGAGACAGAAGAGGAGGGGGATCAAAAGAAGAAGAGGAAAATATAGAAATCTTATTTTCTATTCGATGAAAAAAAAAAGACGAACATTTTGATGAAGATCAAATCCTTCTAAAGATGTAAACGATGTCAAAATCCTCTTTGTTACACACACACACACACACACACAGGAAACAGGAGTATTCCATGTTAGGAGATTTTGCTGTAGTTGTGAGTGATCAACCCCGCTCCATTTTTCCACCTGAATTTGAAAATCCTGCTCAGACAGGTTGATGCAGGGTTTAGCTTACAGCAGTGATGAGTGATGAAGATGAACTTTTAGTGTTTAATAAAATAATAATAATAATAATAATAATTCATCTCCTACCATAGTTTCCTGACACTGTGTGGCGCTGTCTCCCCCACTGTTCCTCGTTATTTTACCCAGTTTTACAACAATAATATAAAACGTTTTCTTAATTATTATTATTATTTTTATTGTTATCAATATATTTGTTCATATCTGTGTTTTTGATGTTTATACGGCGGTTATTTGAATGAATTAACAGTATATTTCTGATGGGCTGGAACAAATGAATTGGTTTTTAGTTCTTTTTAATGAGGAAAATTCCATCCAGATACGAGTGCTGTTGTGGAGCAGATTAAACCAGTGTCAGTGTGTCCACTGTCTGTGAATGAATGTTTGACATCAGTAAAGACTTAAATGTTTTCATATGGATCTGTTTTATTCCCCTGCAGCTGTGAGTGTGAGTGTGTGTGTGTGTGTGTGTGTGTGTGTGTGGGACGTCTCTGGAGACGTGTGTAGAGTCAGTAAGGAGAGAGAGTGAAAAGTCAGAGGACTTACACACTGCAACATAAACATCCAGCTTGTGTGTGAGTCAGTGTGTGTGTGTGTGTGTGTGTGCGCTGCAGGGCAGGTATCTCCTCAGCAGACAGAGAGACGACTCTTGTGACCGCATCGATTTAACAGAGGAGGTCAGGGCAAACCTTACAAGAGAGTGGGTGTGTGTGTGTGTGTGAGTGTGTGTGTATTCACTGAAGATACTTTTTGTAAAGGATAAAACAGACGATGTTGTTCTGTAACCATGTGACCCTACAGTCCCGCTGTCACTCTGTTGTCCTGCCTGTTGTTGCCATGATGGGTCCACCAACCACGGGTTTAGAAACTCAACACATTTAAATTGAAGTTGACAAAAAATTACAGACGTTATTGTTATTACTGTGAACAGATGTTCTGTCCTGTCAACAGTTCCTGGTCCTGTCAACAGTTCCTGGTCCTGTCAACAGTTCCTGGTACCATGACCAGCCTGTGGACAGTACAGTGAGGCTGCAGGAGGACTCACAGGAAGTCAACTGTGTCCACAGTGACCAGGACCATCAGAGTGTTAGCTGATAGCAGGAGGAAGGTGTGTGTGTGTGTGTGTGTGTGTGTGTACCTGGAGGAGGAGGTGCTGGGCAGGGGTCTCCTCATGGCTCCTGGACTCATGCTGTAGTAGGAGGAGCTGTCCAGGTCGGCCAGTGAGAAGTTTGGACCAGTGCTGGCTGCGATTGGAGCTGACACAGAGACAGAGACGGAACTCATTAGAACTGTTTTCACTGTTTCACCTGGAACAAGTTCAGGATGTTCTCCTTCTACTGGTCTGAGCTCCTTCTACTGGTCTGAGCTCCTTCTACTGGTCTGACCTCCTCAACAGCTGCTGAAAGAAAGATCTTAGGGACTCTAAAAGACCCCGAGAGGTTCTTTCTTTTCACAGGAGCGTCTTCTTCAACACCCACCATGGAGACATGTTCCTGGGACCAGAAGCTCAGTTGGACTCTCCTGGACCTGTGATCCGTTCATCCTCCCTGACTACAACTCTCTGTCTCCTTTTGTTTTTCCTCTCTGTCTCTCCGGGGAGAGCAGTTCAACCAGAAAGGCCGGAGGGATGGAGTGGAAGAATGAAGGGTGAGGGGGAGACAGAGAGAGAGGGAGTGGGAGAGAAAGGGAGAGTCGGCTCTTTGTTGTCAAATGCTTCAATTTGAAAATCCCGCTGAAAAAAGGCAGCAATCAGCTTCAAACCCGGACATCCGTCTAGCCCCTCGCCTCCAGCCCCCCAATCCATCCCTCCCCTTCATCGCTTTATTGACAGAGAGCATGATGGCGTGATGGGATGAAAGGAGGAGGAGGGGGAGGAGGGGGAGGATGGTTTTCTGCTGAGCTCAGCTCTTTCACCTACACCTCTCTCTATCGGCCTCTCTCTCTCTGCCCTGCAGAGATAGGACTGGCCTGAGACAAACACACACACACACACACACACACACACATTTCCCCAAGGTCTACACAGTTTTAAGATGAGAAACTTCCTGTACAACACCATAAAACAAGTGCACCCTGGCTATGGATTAAAAGAGTGATGGACAACAAGACCACTAGGGGGCGTTTTGTTTGCAAAAACTTCTTCCATGGTTAAAACTAGAACTGAACCACTGATAACATAAAATATTTATGTGCATTTTGGGCAGGATCAGATGACAGGTGTGCTGATCCCTAGTGGCCAGTTTTAAACATGACACCCTTTATATTCTTGCTGTATTACAACTCCCCATTCCTGGTCCTGGCCCCGCCCTCCCACTCTAACATTAATGTTTCACTGTATCAGGACTAATCCTTGGTACTAATTCATTATTACTATCATTACCCGTGTTATTATATTAAAATGAATTCGTTTGTGATGTGGGGCACATATGGTGTTGGCAGATCACCAGGTGTGTGTGTCTGTGTGTGTGTGCGTTCCCTGGGGCGACAGAGTGCAGGAGGAAGAAGGAATGAATGAGCCTCGACCAACAAGGCCTGCAGCTTTATTCATCTTTCTGTCCCAGTGCGTGTGTGTGTGTGTGTGTGAGAGAGAGAGAGAGAGCGCGTGTTGGAAGTGCCTTGGGATGAAGGAGCTAGAAGGTGCCAAGTAGGTCAGCTGCCTTATCTATCTGCCGGAGTGTGAGTCTCTGGTCTTGACTGTGTGTGTGAGTGAGTGTGTGTGTGAGTGCATGTGTGTGTGTGTGAGTCACAGAGTGTGGGCGGAGCTGTGAGAATTGCTGCCCCTGGCTCACGGTGCCTTTTGCCCTCGCCACACCTCGCTAAATGCCTCAAAGAGCGCCTGTGCTCAGCACTCCTCTAACATTGCACCTGGCTTCAGCCAAAAGCGCCCCCTACTGGCAGCTGCAGTTTCCTGACTATTACACCATTTATTCTTCTGAGCGCTGGTGTGTGTGCATCGCCCTAACGTGACGTGTGTGTAACTGTGCTCCTCATCACAGGAACAATAACCTGAGGTCAAAGGGTAAGTTTCAGTAGTTTTCACTTCCTGTCACTGCCTGAGTGGAGCTTAGGCAACGCAGCCAAGACTCAGAGTGTGTGTGTGGGTGAATGTGTGTGTGTGTGGAGCTGACTGACAGGTTACAAATGTCTACAAACATCAGAGAGGACAGGAAGGGAAGAAGAAGAGGTGATAGACAGGGAGAGAGTGAGGGAGAGGGGGTGAGAGAGGTTGAGGTAGAGTGCTGTGCTACCACCTGATTTGTGTTTGTATTTATTAGTGGTGGTTAATTATTGTCAACACTGATGGAGTCGTTAGTCATTTCCTAATTGATTATTCTGCCACTTTATTTAATTCATTGATTAATCAATAGGTTTTAAAAACGTTACACGTGTTAAAAGAAAAACAACCCATCAGGCTGTGGCGCTGTGAGGTGACACCGTTCAGAGTCGGCTGTATTTCTGTCTCTTTAACGCCGACCGTGTTCGGAGCCACAACAAAACAAAGATAATTCTCACCAACCTAAAATCTTTGAAAGTTGTGACGTTGTCAGGACAAGCTCATGTTTGTGCACACCTCAAACTTTTGCACAGCTCTAAAACCAAAGGTTGTACTTGTGTGTGGCCCAACATGAGGCACGCCTCAGAGATGACGAAAGGAAGGAAGGAAGGAAGGAAGGAAGGAAGGAAAAGAAGGAAGGAATGAAGGAAGGAAGGAAATGAAGTGAGTGAGAGCTGACTGAAGTGGAGAAGTCAGAATCCAGTCTGCACAAATACACTGAAGTGACCAATTACATTTGATACAGACCTGCTACACTAACCTACACACACCCCCCCCTCTCTCTCTCTCTCTCACCCTTTCTTTTTCTTTGTGTGCTGCTTTAATAGGATATTGATCGACAGAGAGAGATTCGATTGGCTTGCCAGTGAATTGTGTAATGGCTGCGCAACACCAAGGTCACCCACCATGTGTGTGTGTGTCGGTGTGTGTGTGTGCGTGTGCTCAATACACCCCAATCCTTTATCTACACACCAACCCCGGCCACTTTTCATCTACCAGTAAAATATCGGTCTGTCCTGCCGACACCTGTGTGTGTGTGTGTGTGTGTGTTTATCTGTTCAGCCTCTTAATGAACGACACTGCGTGTCTTAAACACCTACTACAGACAGTAAAGGTGGAGTTGGTGGAGTGTGACAGACAGACGGAGACAGACTGGTCAGGAGACACGGCAGAAAGGTTTCATCCACGAGTGAAAGAAACTACACTTCATCCACGAGTCATCCACGAGTGAAAGAAACTACACTTCAGGTTTGTTTCACTTCAAAAACTTCCTGGAAAAACCAAACAATCTGATTTGACATTTGACCAACATGTGGGTGAAGACACTCCGGCTCCACTGTCACGGTGACAACACCATACATTCTTCTTCTGCGACACTGTACAACGACAACACCAGTGTTAGTGCTGGAGTGTTAAGAAATGTTGTTGAGAAAGCAGCCACTAGTGTTTCAGAGCTGACGAGGGTCAGGGAGGACGAGAGGGGTTCAGAGGAGAGTTCAGCCGTGACTTTAACTGACAAAATGTCTGGGCTTAAACTATAAGTTCCCAACAAAAGTCTCAAGGTCGCCAAGTGTAAATGAAACGGTCTGAGAACATCTTCATTATCCTCACATCGTCTGGTTAACAACTTTACAACCGTGACAGAATACACCAGTATGCAGATGATGTGACACTGATTAGGTTCTAGTTTTTGTCTTTCTATTCTTCTACATTTCATAGTTAGACCTAACTGTAACAACTGCGCCATCAACAGGTGAGTGTTTTCATTTGTCCAGTACATTTGTTTTATACAGTCATCCTGATTTATTTATCTCTGTGGTTCTTAATTAGCTGCTACATGATGCCTTCAGTTTATGGTCGTCTGAGTGTGTGTGTCTGTGAGTGTGTGTGTGTGTGAGAGAGAGAGAGTGTGTGTGAAGGCTTTCCTCTGCAGTGCTTTGAATACATAATAATGCACTTTCTAAATCAATGTGTCATTTGTTTGTGACGATCCAGTTTCACATGGTGAAGAGCAGACCTACAGCAGATCAATATCAACACTGATGATGTCATCAGTCTGCTCATCAAACAGGAAACACTGTTTCTGTTTCAAACACATCACCGTGGCCATCGTGTGTATCTTCATATGTCTACATATATGTATGTGTACTATATGTCAATATATGTCTTAGATACATTTGGTGTAAAAATAAGTGATGACCAATGTGAGGCGCTCTTCCTGCTGTTCTGGTCTCGAAATCAGTCAAATGCACAATAAAAATTATAAAGTTTACAATCCCCTCTCCCCCCCCCTCCCCCCCAAAGAGGACCATCCTACATACTGATCCATAAGTGATTCTTCCAGACCTGCATCACTGCAGATTTGCTGACCAACACAATATACACACATACACACACCCTTGGAATACAAATAGCAGATGTGTGCATCTTTGTATGTGTGTGTGTGTGTGTTCTTTCTCAGCCACTGCAGCAGACGTGACTTCGTAACGGCCCAGTCTACAGTTCACAGTCTACACCGGTGATTCCCAATCACTGGGCCGTGGCCCACTGGTGTGCCGTGAGAGATCATCAGGTGCGCCGCGGAAAATGATCCAGTTTCATTGGTCTAAAAAAAAACATTACTTATATCTTGCAAATCATTTTCCTTCGTTTATCAATGCGTGATATGCAGATCAATTAAATACCCTTCCACTATGTGGCAGCAAAACGCCATGACAACTAAAAAAAAAGAGAATCAGAGCGGTTGAAGAAGATCTTTGTCTCATGTCTTTCTTCAATTCCTGCCAGTATATCAGCAATTGTCTTCAACTAAACAGGCCAAGATTTTAGTGAACTCCGAGTATATTTAAACTAAAAGGTTATTATATTTTATTACATATACTTTTTGTCAGATTTTTGTGCCATGGGGTTTTCCTAACGAAAAAGTCATCGTAGCATCAAAGACTGAAATGTAATTCTTTATATAAATATGTATTTATATAAATGGAATATTTCAACCTATGTATGAGACATATACAGTAATTAACATGTTTTATAGAACTCTTGGTGACACTATGGTTCAATACTTCTATGGTCACTTGTAGGGCTGTGTGTTGTCAAGAATCTGTCGATATGATACGTATCACGATACAGGGGCAACAATACGATATATTGTGATATACTGCAATACTATAGACACGACAATATATTGAATTTCTTTTTGTACAATATAATTGTAGTAGAACTGCCACCATAGTAACCTGTCAACATAGTTGACTGGTAATTGTTAATAAATAAATAATAAATCAATACAGTGATGGAGGATATTGATACAGTGATATGAAAAGAAGTAGTGTGATATTCCAGTGTATCAATATTTTCTGACAGCACAGGACCAGGTGTGGACATGACCACTAAAGGTTAGTCTATGATGTCTCCTGAGTCCAGACCTACAGTCAGACCATGTCAGGTTCCTCAGCCTGAACTGGACATGTGGTTTAGACAGACTGTGGTTCTAGGTGTGTGTGTGTGTGTGTGTGTGTGATCAACCGTCCTTTGATCGGGGTCTCTGTCTGCTGACAGGCACTTTACATCAGCTATTGTTAGCGGTGGCCCATCGACAGACTTATAGATCTCACTGCGCTCTCTGTCACTCTCTCTCTCTCTCACCGTCTCCCTCTCTCTCTCTCTCTCTCACTTTCCCTCTCTCCTGCGTGTCGGCACTTTTTAAAGGTCACATTTATCCCTCATTCATCCTCTCTCACCCCCCCAACTCTGCAGGTCACATTTCTCACCCCCCTCCCCTCCAACATCATTTTTAAAATATCATGATTAGCATCATATCAACAGGTGATGGCTTTAATATAAAAAATATTATATATATTTATATGAATTATTAAAACAAATATGTAGATCAACATGATCATTTAGATAAAAGATTGTGACTGTATTTTGTTCTCCACCATCTTGGATAATCTGCCCTAATCTCATGTTTGTTCTGCCTCCGTCACTGTTACCCCGACCGTCTCCATCCATCATCTGCTGCCTGGCAGCTCCGTCTCCAACAACCTGTCCAATAAACCTAAAAAAGCAAAACTGCTGCTCATTGATCACAACCTGCCAGTGTGTGTGTGTGTGTGTATGTCATGTGGCCTTTCATTAAACTGAGCAGTGTCTGGTTTGAGTCTGGATGAATCACATTAGCTCCACTATCGATGACAGATCTGCAGTCCCATCACTACTCTGCCCCGCTCTCTCTCTCTCCCTCTCTCCCTCTCTCTCTATCACAGGTATTGGGGGTGGGGGTGTGGGTGTGGGAGGGACTTACTCTGTGAGACTCGTACTAGCTCAGCCACCGTGAAGACCCCGGGTGTCACAAAGCTGTCCTGGAAGCCCAGGTGACCTGAAGGAGGGAGAGAGAGAGAGAGAGAGAGTCTTAATTCTAATAAGTGGACACAAAGACTTTAGACAATAATCTGTGTCAGAGGTAGTCTGTAGCTGTAGTCTGTGGTTCATATTTTCAACCTCCATACCCCTGGTCTGGGTCAGAACCGGGTACAGGTACCAGCTGCAGCTGAGCCCAGAACCAGCAGAACAGGTGACAAACAGAGGCTCTGGTTTCTCAACAAGAACAATAACGGCAGCGGAATGTGTGAGGAAATACAGCTGAACCCAAGGGCCAAGGTGGAACACACACACACACACACACACACCATACAAAACAAAGAAAATGCTTTCTCACACACCAGGGTCAAATACAAGTCACCGTGAGTGAGGTGTGTATGCTCTGTGTGTGTGTGTGTGTGTGTGTGTTCTCACCGTTCTCCGGCTGGTCCTTGATATCTGACTCACTGGCCTGGTTGGGGCTCTCTGATTGGCTGCCTTCTGCAGAGAAAAGCAGACAAAAGCTGATGAGCAGGAGCTGCTGTGGAGCAGTGGGTGGAGCCAAAAGTCGGAGGTTCAATCAACGGCTCTGTTTGTTTACACTTAACCTCCAGTGGCTGCTGTTAGTTATGTAGAGTGAGTGTGACTCAAACTGAGGTACGGACACGGTGTGTGTGTGTGTGTGTAGTTGTCCAGGCTACAGAATAATGATAAACGGTTTTTAAAACATATTTTATGAGAAAAGGCAGCATGAAACATAAATACTACCATTATCATTATTATACTATTAATACTACTACTGCTGCTACTACTACTACAACCATACTACTACTACTACTACTGCTACTACAACCCTACTACTACTACTACTACTACTGCACACTGAGCTGCTATTGATCTTCACACCACAAGAGTCTGGTTTCACCAGCTCACTCTAATGTTGCTGCAGCAGTTCTACATATATTGTCAGTCCAAGTTTTAGTCTCTTCTGACTGGTGAGAGGTGTTCCTCTGGGGCAGGCACTGAGGCATTAGTGCATTATCAACACTACAAAAAAAACTTTGTAATATTTCAGAATCCCTTATTTTCTTTAAATCAAGGTTAAAAAAAGATGTAAACATGGTTTACAGCATGGTTCTTGAAAAATGGCCTCAGGTGAGTCATGCCCATAAATGGAATGGTAGACTGCTGTGGACAGTCACCTGACTGTGGAGTGATGCACAGGTACAACCTCAGTGTTAGCCCCCCCAGTTCTCCCCCGACACAGGGCTGTTCAATGATACATTTAGTTTGGCCATAAAATTCAGCTCGTACCATCTGGGCCGCTCTGACATAGTGCCTGGGCCACGTGTGTTTTTGTCATTTCCCTGACGGTAAATGAAGATCCAGATTCACCGAGTAGAAACAGGTCTGGACTTAGAACTGTCAGCCTTAGAACTGTCAGTTGGATGTTGGATCATCCAGGAGGATGTCAATATCAGGTCTGAGCAGGGTCACAGCGCCATCTAATCCCACTCTGTCCAATCAGTGTAATGGACCCAGATCTTCTGTTGGGTTCAGAGTCTCCTCTGATGAAATGGTCCACTGTCTGTGGGTTGGATGTTCAGTAGGACTGGTCCACTGTCTGTGGGTCAGATCCTCCTCACAGACGTCCGTCTGTACCTGACACTGACTAAATCACAAACACACAGCTGTTTCCCCGCTCATTGCCGTCACGTCGGACGACTTTCTAGAAGATTCTCCCACTCTGTAAACACAGCTGCTTCTCCTCTGCGTCTCCCCCTGTCCTCCCAGCATGCTCTCTGCTCCGGTGCAGCCCTGCTACGCTCTTGCAAATGATTTAGCGGCTTCAGGGGCATCGATCGGCTGCGCTGCAGATAAAACAGGCGGGGGAGTGGGAAGAAATATTACCCATCATCCCCCTGGAGCCCGGGCCGCCGGGGCCATGACTCAGGAGTGGACTGAGATGAATGGAACTGAGTCAGGATTGAAAAGGTTTAGTACAAACTTTTTAATTCTGATCAGATGAAGTGATGAAGCAGCAGTGAAGTCCAACATTTACTGAACCGAAATAAGACAAACATCTGACATGAGTCTGGACCGACCACCGCTGATCGGGGTTTGTTTCAATTTATATGGGGAAGAATCACAGTCTCCGTGTTAGAGAGCAGACCACAGGGAGCTGTAGTCAATAGAATTCTCATAAACCTTTTTGTTGGTATTTATCAAACAATTCCATAAGAATCCTCAGTAAAATCTAAATGAACTCGATCTTCAAAGATCTGCAGCTGATCTGGTATCATTTACTATGAGGCCGCAGTAATCTGAGGGGTTGCCTGTTTGAAACCCGGCTTTGGCAGGTCTGTGGTTGGTTAAATAAATATCAGAAACTCCTCTGCCCCCACCAACCCACCCACAGGGGCAGTAGAGTTCAAGCCACAAGTCACACTTCAGTCTGACGTCTCAGGTCATATTTTTCATTAGGCAAACCCCACGGCACACCACCAAACAAAAATCTGACAAAAACTATATATAATAAAATAACCTTTTAGTTTAAATATATTCACAATTCACTAAAATCTTTTTAGCTGAAAACAACGCTGAAATACTGGCAGGAATTGAAGAAAGACACTCAAAGATCTTCTTCCAAAGCTCTAATTCTTTTTTTTTGTATTTTCATGGCCATTTGCTGCCACCTAGTGGAAGGGTATTTGATAGTTCTGCATGTCACGCGTTGACAAACATAGAAAAATTATTTGCAAGATATAAATAATTTTTTAAGACCACTTGGCAACTGACATTGGGAAATGTTCTGCCGTACACCTAACCATCTCTCACAGCACACCGGCCTGTGCCACGGCACAGTGGCTGGGAATCACTGATCTAAGTGTCTGGGCTTAGAGACATTTGTGAAGATTAAAACTCTCGGGTCCAGAGTCTCCTAGTGTTCACTTCGGGTGCTGCATCATTGAAACCTTCCTGAGACAATGACACCGTTCACTCGACTCATTAGGCTTTTAGAAACTTAAAGAGCAGTGGCATTAGTTTAAAAAAAGGAGGAGGGGAGAGAGGGGGAGAGAGGGTCACCCCCTCAAAATCAACCAGACACCCCCCCCAGACAAAGTGCAGCATTTATCAGGCTTGTTTTGCATGCTGTTCAGCCACGCTCTCCGCTTCAGCAGCTTAAAACAAAGAGCATCAGGATGAAACCACGGCAACCGGCAC